GAGACAGAAGGAAAAATAGGGGTACACAAATCCAAATCCATTCTTTAGGCTCTCTGGAAAATTTTCTTTATATAGGGGTTACTTGAAGTGTGCCTTAAAGGGTATGGGAGAGTTGGGGGAAAGATGATATCTATATCTAATTATCTATCTACCTATCTGTCAACCATCCCCACCTGTCTTTGTGGGACACTGACCAAAAGGGCCGTTCCCTAGCACCTTTAGAAATCTATCTTGATCTATTCCAGTTTTGAGTGAACTGGATGGTAGGGATTATATCTCGCACCTCTCCAATGGTGTATAAAGTGGGTCTGGTTTGCTGTGGCACTTTGAACAAGCTTTTCACCTTCTCTGGGCTTCAATAACCTCCTTACTAAAATGGAAATTGAAGGCCCTGGCCTATTTCCTATTTCCAGAGGGCTGTCTCAAGATGAAGAGGAGTAGGAGAACAGGAACCAAATTTCTAGAGATGTTTCAGGACTTCTATGCTCTGTCTGAGATTAGTGATCCTGTTTTTTTTCTGTAGCCTCCACGGGTAATACCACCCACAGGCCTCCAGCTGCTCTTCTCCCGGAGTGACTATGGGCTGTAGAGAGCCACTCCTAGGTAGGATGCAGTGAGCCTTGGGCCCCAGGCATGGGGCTGAATATAGTGGGGGGATAGTGAGCCAGTGGCTTTGAGCAGTGGCTACAAAGGAAGTGGTACCTAGGCTGCTGCCACAGAAAGCCTAATACTCACGTATCAGCACATAAACTATAAGCATGTGGCCAATCTTCCCTGTACACCCTTGTCCCCCACAAATGCATTTATATCCACACACTCCCAAGAATTACTAATAGAGATACCCCATTTGTGATTTTGTAACCCATGAGTATGGTCTTAATAATGCTTTTAATAGGATTCTTCTATGCACCCCATACTTTGGGATGATGGTCAGGATCTGTGGGCCTCAGGAAGTCACACTGTGTGCTTTTTCTCCCTAGACCCCATTTTAGAATTTGTGGTTCAGATCTTGGTCTTGAGTGGGTCTCTGATACTGAGTGAACTCTTTTTCTGCAGCCTGTTAATTGGACTTTTTCGGGGTAGGGGACTTCATTCTTTTGTTTATTCTATTCTACCCCATTCAAGGTTGAGAAACTTTCTTGATACCACCTTCTATTTTCAGACCTAGTTAGTTTGCCCACCCAGTTCCCTGCATAGATCTCAGTTATAATATTTAACTTTCTGAATGGGGAATTATTTGTCTATATGTGCATCTCATCTAGGGCAGAGAGGTAGATTGTACAAATACTCATTGAGCAAGTGTCTCCTCTTTGCCAGCACCTGAGCTGGACACTGGAAACATTGATCTCAGATAATTGAGGTCTAGTCCCCATCCTCAAGGAACTCACAGTCTAGTAAGGAAGTACACCAGTAAAAACTGGTGGATACTTGCTCAGATAAATGGAATCATATAGACAGTATGAAAACTAAAGATAATGCCTGTCCCAGGTTACAGGGAAAGTTTCCCAGAGGAGGCAACATTGAACCAGTTCTTGAAGAGTGAGTCAGATTTCATTGAGAATGGAAGGAAAGAGAAGGTATTTCAGGTAGAGCAAAGGTCCAGAGGTAAAAAAGTATATGTTATGTTTGGGGACTCATTGAGTCAGCCAGTGCAGTTTAAGCATGGGGGTCTAAAGAGAGACATGGCTAGAGAATTAGGTTGGGGCTTGATTCAGAACAGCCATTCTGAGACCTTTCCATAAAGCTTGTTTAGTTCTCCTGCTTCTAGGATCAAAGTTGGTAACAGAGGTAAACAAACAAAAAAACCTAGATAAACAACACACACATAACCACAAAAGCAAAATAAAACAAAACAACACAACAATAACAACAACAAACAACCAGCTAGCTAGTTCCAGTTCCAGGCAATTTTAACTTGGGTTTTCAAGCCTGGACCCCAGGTTTACCCTTTCAGACCTTGCCAATAGCCTGCTAGCCTCCTATCTCAGATTTCCTGCTGCTAAAATTATCTTTCTGCCTCTTGGCAGGGTCATGAGGACAAAACTATAAACATAGAAGGGGGTTCATGTGACTGGCTCAATTACCTTGGACAAGCTACTTCCCCTCCCTAGACCTTAGTTACCCTAAGAAACTAGTGAGAATGTTTGTAAGGAGCAACTAGGATATGGAGTATGTTGTTACTTTGTGGGCAATGGAAAACTTACATGTAAAGGGTTATTAAGATTATTAGCATTGCAAATCAAAGTGAGATATTTCCTTAGGTCTATCAGAATGGGTAAAATCAAAAACACAAGAAATAACAAGTGGCAAGGATGTGGGAGAAAAAATGGAATCTCCATACACTGTTAGTGGGAATGCAAATTGATGGAACCTCTGTGAAAAACAGTATGGAGGTTCCTCAAAAAATTAAAAATAGAAATAGAAATACCATATGATCCAGCAATTCCACTACTGGGTATTTACCCAAAGAAAATTAAAATACTAACTCAAATAGATATATGCACCCCTATGTTTATTGCAGTCTTATTTACAAAGCTAAGGTGCAGCCCAGGTGTCCATCAATAGTTGAATGGATCTGGTACACACACACACACACACACACACACACACACACACACACACACACACACACCCTACACATACAATGGAATACTACTCAGGCATAAGAGGCACAAAAAGAAGGAGATCTTGCCATTTGCAATGACATGGGTGGACCTAGAGAGTATTATGATAAGTGAAGTCAGTCAGAAAAAGACAAATGTATGATTTCACTCATTTGTGGAATTTAAGAAGCAAACAAAAAAGAATAAAGACAACACACTCTTGAACACGAGAACAAACTGGTGGTTGCAGGGTGGGGTTGATGAGGGGAGGGGTAGAATAGTTAGAGGGGATTAAGAGTACACTTAAATCTAGATGAGTACTGAGAAACACATAGAATTATTGAATTATTATACTGTACACCTGAAACTAATATAACACTGTATGTTAATTGTACTTCAATTAAAAAAGTAACAAAAATATACAAAATATGCAATATTACAATGTCAGAAAAAAAAAACAACTCAGTAGCTAGCAAAGCCAATGCTGAGGAGAAAAAAATATTAGCATTGGCAGAGTAATACTTATTAGGAGACTTATTAGGATTAAGAGAGTTGTATCTCTTCCAAAGTCTAGTTCTGAAACTCTAAAGGTTCTGAGATAATTTGGAATACCACATTCTTAAGTCAAGCTAAATTGATCAATTAACAGAAAAAAGCCTTGGACTGGGAAAAATCAGGTCCTCGGTGTTCTGACTTGGGCACTTGTTTGCTACAGGACCTTAGGAAAATACTTCCCCTCTCTAGGCCTCCATTTTATTACCAGAGAAGATCAGATGAAATGATTTCTAGGGCCTTTGTATCACAAAACCAAAAAAGTAAAAGTAAATTTACCTTTCTAATTGATTGGCAGGAGCTCTTTATTATAAATGTTAACTCTTTGTTATATGTTATAAATTCCCCTTATTGTTTCTTGTATACCCAGCATTACATTAGAAGTTTCAGATTAGCCAAAGGATTGATCATTTACTTCACAAAGGGAATAGGTGTTAACTAATGTATTTTGAACATTTCCCAGGTTGCTTTATGTGTATAAAGACGTTGAGTTTTCAACAACTTTAAGTGGGTAGATACTCTCATCAGATGAAAAACTGAGGCACTGTAAATTTAAGTTTTCTGCCCAGGATCTCATAATGGGGGAAGAGGTGGGATTCCACTCAGGTAGTATGGCTCCCCAGCCCATTGCTGTTAACCACTGTGATTCACTGCCTCAGTAAATTCATTTAGATGGGCAGGTTCCAAAATGTATTGAAGGTTTGGATTGATTTATACACAACTAGAGGGAATCTAACCTTTGTATAGACTAGGATACTGAGAATAAACTTTTAGGGAACTTCTTAAAAGGCAAAGTGCAGCCAAGAACATTGGAGGAAAGGGATTAGAGATTTCTATACCCAAAAGCTTGTTCCTGTGTAGCCCAGTTCAATGGAAGAAAGTTGAGATTCCTTGTAGCCAATCATTGGAGGTTCATCAGGGGGTGGGAAGGTTGCAAAAGAATGAAGTAAGAGTACACTTGGACATATTCCAGGTATGCTGTGTCATTACATGAGCTCTTCCCCCCCAGGGGAAGGGGGGAAGGTAAAGTAGACACATCTGGGTGGGATGGCTCTGGCCTATGGACTTGTCCTACTTTGAGGTCATTGCTCCCTGCTCTCCACACTCAGCCTGCTGCAGCCTTCACCCTAAGCCTCCATCTCCTCAGCTTGGCATGAAGAACTGTAGTCAAGTTCTGGATCAGATCACGAGGCCCTTCTCCCTAGGGCACCTAATGGCAGCTGGCAGCCATGTGTGCAGTGCCTACTATCTCTCCCCACAGAAATGGCTACATTCACTTCTCTTCCCAAGGTGTCAGGTTTACTCTAATTTATTTAGCCTTGGCTGGGAAGAACATAAAGATGATCAGATGGTGCCCATCTCTCCCAAGAGTGACCCCAAGCAGCACATTTTAGGAGGGAGAGTCCCTGTGGTAGGAAAGGCAGCGGAATTCAGGGGAAGACAACGGTCGCAATAACATTTTGGGTGGGAGGAAACAGTGAGACAATGAGCCTTCCACTTCCAGTTCTGGTTTTTGATTGCTAGGTCAAAACTGCATTTTTCAGTAGGGATTTTGTTTGTACTTGAGAACCTTGAATTCTGATGTGGATCTCTGTTTCTGGGTTAGAACTTGACATTCTACTTGGGCCCATTTTTTTTTTTTTTATTTCAAAGCTGTGAAAGCGGCTGAGACCTGCCTCCATCACCTTTACCTTTTCCACCCCATACAGGATATAAGCACATGATCTTTGGTCTTTTATTTGCATGTTTTACTAGTCCTGTCTTCATTGGAGGGAAGTAACTGGCCAGACCTAGGCTGTCTTGCTGGCTGCCTTCCTTGCTGGGCTCCAACTTATCTCCTATGTACACAGCCCTTGGAGTTCAGAGGCCTCTGCTGACCTCTGCCCAACCTCTCTCTCTGCACCCAAGCCCCCACTGGTATATACAGGCAGAGGCAGGCAAGTCAGGCAAGGACTAGGAAAGAGGAGAGGGGGCTGGAGACAGGCTGCCAGAGGGCTCAGAAGCCCAGTGCACCTCCCTGTCCCAACTCTGTCCACATGCTGCTGTGGCCACATTAACAGAAGAGATAGCTAGTAAGACAGGAAGTGAGGCCCAGTACCTTGTGGACAGTGGTGTCATTAGCTGCAACACCTAAGATGTCTCGAGAGATGGGAGAGCTCACCCAAACCAGGTTGCAGAAGATCTGGATTCCACACAGCAGTGGCAGCAGCCGGCTACAGCGGAGGAGGGGCTGTAAGTGTGGTTTGCTTTCATGGGCTTCAAGGTGGTGGTGGTAGAGTGGGTGTAGAAGAAGAGCAAAGGACATGCCCCCCCCCCACATCTACCCCCAACCCAACCTGAAAGTTGGACTAGATAAGCAGCTGAATGAAGTAACTGTAGAACAACAAAAGGATAATGTCAGAAAAGATAGAGAAAGAATAAGAGAAAGAGAGAGATGAAGGACAGAGAAAGAATGAGGATTAGGTAAAGACCATCTTAGAGGGATTTTTGACTAGGCACTTTTTTTCCTTTCTTATCCAGAGCTTATTTGAGATGCTTCTTGTTTGAAATTTGACATTGCTAGTTTGGAACTGTTCAGTGCTAGCCTAGAATGTTTCATTTTGGTGACCTCAATGAAGTGTCTGGAAATTGGTCCTGTCTGATAGTGCTTGGGTGAAATAAGGTAATGGTTCCTGGCATAATTCCTCAGGGAACAGGTGCTGGATACACAACAGTACCATGCCATTGGTCAGTTTTGCTCCTCCCTTTTCTCAAGCCTATTCTAATAAGTCTATACCTGTCTGAGTTGGGAAAGTCTGGGTGTCCTGTCTCCTGCATTGCCTTCTTGGCGCACATGGACACTTTTGCTGCTCTGGGAATTTGAGAGAGAAAACAGCCTCTCAGGAACAGCCTGCTGTGTAATATTCACTTTGAAAATTTAAGAAAACAGAGACAAAGGAGAAGCAAACAAAACTTGTAAATTTTTTTTAAAACACTGAAGTATACCATTTCCCACAGACAACAGGGGACGGTTGTAGACCAAGGTGCTTCCAGCCCAAGGATTATGGCCTGAAGAACCATGAGGTGGGCAGAGATAAGACAGCTGTGGACTGTGGGACCCAGACATTTTGAGGTCCAGCTGACCAAGCTCCCACTATGCTAATGCTAGAGGAGGTCCAGGCTCAGTGCTATTGGGAGGAGAGGTAGTTGCTTAGAGTATACAGGAAGATGTAGGATATTAAATATGTTATATAGTATGCAAGATGTAGATGGAGGAAGAAGAGGGAGAGGCAGAAAAAAAACAGCCTCCTGTTCTCTTTCCTTCTCTCCACCAGCAGTTTCACTCACTCATCTAGAGATCTAGGAGCCTGGATGAGACTGAGAATTACATCCCACCACCATCCAGTCAACCACTTTATTTCTTTCCAAGGGGCTGTTGGATTTAGTTGACAAGAGGCAAGCCAGTCTCTGCATACCTGGGTCCTCCAGAGTTAGGACCTTTATATTCCCGTGAACTCTGTCTTTCAGGTTGCAGAAATAATATACATAAATCACCTAATATAGTCTCTGTCACATAGAGGGTGTAAAACAAATATGTACTCACTTTAGTTCTGAGCCTCTCTTTCCTTAGCTGCAAAACAGAACTAATAACTATTTCTCACACTATGTTGTTGGGATGATTCAGTGATTCAGAGGTCTGGATCCAGACTGCCTAGGTTTGAATCCCAGCTCTGCCACCTCCTGCCCCTGTGACTTTGGACACGTCTCTTTACCTCCCTGTGCTTCCATTTCTTCATCTGTAAAAAGAAGTGAATAATAGTGTTGTGAAGATTAGAAAATAAAATATATAAAATGCTTAGAATGTCTAGCTCATAGTAAGTGCTCCGTAAATGTTAGTTATTATTTAAACAAGAAGGTGGGTGTGTGGTCTTTCTGCCCATCATATCCTCAGCATCAAGCTCAGAACCTGGCACATAGCAGATGTTTAATGCTCTACTTCCACTTACTCTACCACTCACCATAGGCAAGCATGGGCTCTGTGTGTACAAGACAGTTGCTCATTAGTGATTGATTGAATTATGTCAGACCGCAGACACAATAAACTTAATGTTTGCCAAATCCTGCCCTGGAAAATGTCTGCCTCACCTCCCTTGCTGGGGAGTCTATTTACCACTGAAAGATCTTAATCATCCTTTGCTTGGAGCATCCTCTCTAGACCTGCCTGGTTCCAAAAGGGGCAGTGGGTGAGGAGATGAACACAATCAATGATGTTGTTCTGAGAATTAAATGCATTAACATGTGTAAAGTGCCTGAAAAGCTGTGTATGTCCATCTGGACTTGTTTTCTCATTCAGTGTTATGTTTTGTGTGCCATCTATATTATTGTTGCATATAGTTATATTGTTTATTCTCCTTGCTGTGTAGTACTACATTTTGTGAATACCTCATGGTTTATCCATCTGTTTTTTTTTTTAAGATTTTGTTTATTTATTTGAGAGAGGGAGAGATCATGGGTAGGAGGGAGGGGCAGAGGGAGAAGCAGACACCCCACTGAGCAGGGAGTGTGATGCGGGACTCCATCTCAGATCCCTGGGGTCATGACCTGAGCTGAAGGCAGCCGTTTAGCCGACTGAGCCACCCAGGTGCCCCTTTCCATCTAACTGTTGATGCACATTTAGGTAGTTTCTAGTTTTTGGTTATGAACAGTACTGCAGTAAAATTTTTTGTCTGCATAAATTTTGGAATCAGCTTTTCAAGTTATACACACAGAATTCTGGGATTTTGATTGGAATTACATTCAATCTGTAGATCAATTTAAGATCAAATTAAGATCAGTCTCTGTGACATTGAGTCTTCTGTAAACACAGTATGTCTCTCCATCTATTTAAAACATTTTCATGTTATTCATGTGGAGTTTTATAATTTGAAGGGGCTTGCACATCATTATAAGAAATTCCTTTATTTCTTGTTGCTATTGTAAACAATACCTTTTTAGAAAATTACATTTTATAGCAGTTTATTGCTAATGTATGAGTATAATTGTAGTTTTTGTATATTGCATTTGTAACTAGAAAACCTGATAAACTTTCTTATTAATTTTGATAATTTATATGTAAATGACAATTTTCTTTTTTCACCTCCCATCTTTATATTTTTGTATCTCTTTTTCTTATATTACTGCACTCCTGGGACTACTCATCTCCAACACAAACACACCATTTTAACTACAGTGCTGAATAGAAATGTTAATAGTGTGCATTGTTATGTTGATCCTAATTTTAAAGGGAATGTTTTTAAAGTTTCACCATTGAGTAAATTTGCAGTAGTTTTTTGTAGATTTCATTTAATAGGTTAAAGAAGTTCCAGGTGCCTGGGTGGCTCAGTTGGTTAAGCGTCTGCCTTTGGCTCTGGTCAGGATCTCAGCGTCCTGGAATTGAGTCCCACATTGGGGCTCCCTGCTCCGTGGGGAGTCTGCTTCTCCCTCTCCCTCTGCCTGCCTCTTCCCTTGCTCTTTCTCAATCTGTCTCTCTCTCTGTCAAATAAGTAAATAAAATCTCAATCTAAAAAAAAATGAAAGTTCCAGTTTATTTCTTAGTTTGCCAGTAGGATTTTTTTTAAATGAGTAAACTTTGAAATTTATTAAATGTATTTTCTCTATTTCTTGAGATGACATGTTAATTTTCTATTTCAATTTGTTAATGTGAATTATATTGATGTTGTTTCTTGTGTTGAACTAATCTCGCAGTCCTAGGATAAATAAAAACTGCTGGATTTATTTCATTAATATTTTATTTAGGAATTTGGTATTTTGTTCATGAATGAGCTTGGTTTCTAATTTTACCATGGTTCTCATGTTTCTCTATTTGATTTTAGTGGCATAAAATGAAGTGGGAATGATTTCCTTTCATTCTGTTTTCTGACAGAGGTTATACAAGGTGGCACAACTTCCAAATAAAAACATCTGATCCTACTATCTTCTTTGTAAGAAAATTTTTAACTGATACAATCTTTTAAATAGTTATGGAATCATTCCAGTTTGCTATTTCTACTTGTTAATATTGTTAAGTTATGGTTTTCTAGGAATTTTTCTATCTCAGATCACTTTTCAAATTTATTTCCTTGAAGTTCTTATATTCAGATTTTTAAATGTTGAATTTGCAGTTATGTCCTCTCTTTTGTTCTGTTTATTGGTATCTTCTCGTTTTCCTCTTGATCAGTCTTGCCAGAAGTTTGTCACTTTTATAAGTTTTTAAAAATAATCAACTTTTGGCTTTTTACATCTCTGTTATATCTTTGTTTCCTATTTAACTGTTTTTTCTTATCATTCTATTTCTTTCACTTTCTTTTGATTTTTCTTTTTAACTTCTGCTCATTAATTTTCAGACTTTCCTGTTTTTGAGTATAAGCATCCGATGCTATAATTTACCTACTAAATAGAGGTGATAAAAAAAAAAGGACTGATATTCCTCAGATGCATAATTGTATGGACATAAGGATTTTTTTTAAATATTTCGAGATTATTTGGTAAATAATCACTGTTCCCAGCTTTCTTAGTTTCCCCACCACTTACTCCTTGCCCTGGGCACCTCAGCCCTTTACTCAGGACTGCTGGGACCTACTAATCTCCATTTAGCAACTAAAGGGTTAATGCCTGACACAGCGGGAGGTCTCCAGGAATTTGGTGCCTGTCCATTGGCCAGCTTCTGTCTTGACAGATCAGTGCCCTTGCCATTTCCATTTTGATTACATTCTTGTCAGGGAATAAACTTCTTATGATTTCGGTTCTTTGAAACCTGTTTAGATTTGCTTTATGGACCAACAAAAGGTCACTTTTAGTAAACATTCCATAAGCACTTGAAAAAATACACATTTTATAATTGGGTTTAGTGTAGTATATACTTCAATTAAGTCATGTTTGTTAATCTAGCTCAAATGTTCTACATTCTTCTGGGGTGTTGTCTACTTGTTGATATGAAAAATTTGTTACTGTCTCCTTGTAACTATGTCAATTTTGAAGCTTTGTAAATAATTATAAAAAATTTACAACTGTTATATCTTCCTGGTGAATTTAATACTTTATCAATGTGTAAGGAAATTTTTTCTGGTAATTTAGTATCTTTGGCATTTTGCCCTAAAATAAAAAAATTTTTCTGATATTACATTACTTTTATTTAGCTTAATATTTGCTTGGTATAACTTTTCCTATGCTTTCTAAAAAATTGTTTTTGATAGAGATATAATTCACATACCGTG